AAGTGATTAAGAAAATTATCCAAATTATCAGAAATAATTGCATTATTGATAACTGTATGTTGATTTGGGGGAACATATACAACTGAACACTTGGACAATTTGCCCAAGATAAATTCCACAACTTGTTTTTCTGTTTTTTTTCTTTTTTGTTGTTTTTATTTTTACACAACTTGTTTTTCCCTGAAAGCATCTTTGACTCACAGTTAAATTCTCAGTACTTCCCTCAATGGTACAGAACAATTAATTAGTAGTGCTGTGGGTATGTCTTGTTTCTTTTCTTTCTTTTTCTAGTGCAGTTGGTCTTAGGAAATAGGATGGCTTGTTACTTCCAGAGGGAGACAGTAGCAAAATCAGGAGCTGTAGGTAGAATTCTCCGAACTTAATCACATTCTCTGAATGTAATTTAGTTAATTCCATAATGATGCAAAAAAAAAAGTGTGCCACAACAATATTCATGATGTTGTGAGTGCATAGACTAGTTTCATTTAAAGGTCTCTAGCTCCTTTCTAAATAACAAATAAGCCCAAACTTTCTGTGTCAGATGGTTATTCACATCTGTTCTTTCTTTAACTCAATAGCCTGCCTGAGCTGTATCTTATAATGTGGTAAGACAAAAATGAAACAGAAGCAAAACCTAAGTTGGCAGGTATAGTTCTGTATGAAAATTGCAGCTTAGAAAGATTCTGCCACCACAGGGCTGAATGCCAGCCTCCCCACAGGATTTATGATTTAAGTACCAGGACAGCTCCGACCACAGTAGTGCACAATCAACTCTTCCCAGTGAGTTTGGAAAAGGTATATATATATATAAAAAAAAAAAGGCAAAATGGGACATAGAGAGGAGAGCACTGAATGAACCAATTCTACATTCATCTGATAAGGAGTGAAATAATCAACCCTTATAGCAACAAGACTTGAGAAATAAGGGTGCAGCTCTAAGATGCCCTCTGCAAGGGGAGCAATTTCTATGAGCTTTGTATTTCCTTCCTGTTAGCTATCTCATGAATAAATAATCCCTTCCTGCCTGCCACAGATACCTTTAGCAGACTCTCATTTGGCACATTCCTTTACTACTCTTCTACTCCAACCAGATTTTCTGAAATCTAGAGCCTAGTGGCAATTAAGTAATTAATTTTTCACTTATTAGCATTGGCTTGGAACTCACTGAAACTGGGAAAAAAAATAGAGGTCCTGGAAGATAGATAAATAGTGAGGACAAATTACCCATCAGTAGACAATAAAGTAAGTTATGGAAATAAGTACTCGAATACTAACTGGCATGATGACTAATTAATTGTTTAATTAGATATATGTAGCTGTCCTTGTGTGGAACCCAACACACTGTTTTCAGGACTGGTCTTGGCAAAACTGTAGAGCAGCAGAGATTGCTTGCAATGGTGTGTTTTAGTGTCTCTTCAACAGGATTGCTCCTTACTGCTTGCCTGCAGGTGGCCAGGACCCTGGCTGGGGAGCCCCTCTTCCTCCTGCCCTCTTTCTTCTTGGTCTGAACTGTGACCAGATTCTTTGACCTTCATTTCATAGAGGCTGACTTCTTCCATAATTTAAACCATACTGTTGTGTTAATAAGTGCTGCTGCTTGTATACCCCCTTCCAAGTAATAGTCATGGTTTTCCAAATAACTGACCATAGTTCAAAAATGTGACTCTATCTCAGATGGAAATTTTAGAGCTTTGGGCATAGCTTTTGAAGCCCACATCCCTGTGAGTCTATTCAATTCACTCCAACAAACATCTATTAGACATTTTTTATGCCTGCTTTGATGCACATTTGACCCTGGTTTCTGTCCTCATAAACACACATAAATCTAGCAGGATTGTCACTAAGTCAAGCCTTCCAAGAGGCTGATCACGAGAGCACTTGGATGAGATGAGAGAGACAGGCTATCTGCCTTGTTCCAGGATAGGGCTGCACTTTGAGAAACAATATACTGTTTTTTTTTATGTCAGTCAACCCACTGGGAGAATTAGAGATAAGCCAGCTGCCAGTAAGACACACCTATAATTACTAACTCCAAGGAGAACAGGTAGATAAATAAGTGTGTAATTAATTCTAGAGGTGAGAAAGAATCTTTCCAACCAAGAGATTAGGGATGGCTTCCTGGGAGAAGTGTATTTGTTCTGGGACTTGACTGGGTAAAAGAAAAAAAAAAAGAATGAGGATCTTGCTATGGGTCTTGCTGTGTTGCCTAGTCTGGTCTCAAACTTCTGGGTGCAAGGGGTCCTCCTGCCTCAGCTTTCTGATAGCTGACACTACATGTGTGCACTACTATACTTAGCTCCACTGGGTAACATTTGATGTGTGGCTGTGACTCAGGTTGGGGGTATGAAGGTGGGGGAGATGACAAGAAGAAGGATGATGTCAACAAAACATAGCACAGTAGGTGGGTACTGTCATAACAATGGAGAATCCTGCAGTTGCAGGTCAGTTCATAAAAGAGGAGAATATGAAGTAGAGAAGGAGGTTTTGTGCCAGGGCTCAGGGAATCTTCAGTATTAAATTAAGTTCTTTAGTTTGTGGACAGAGAACTATTGCTGCCCTTGAAGGAGAGTGATCTGGCCACCATGGCAGAAGGCCTGATTTTGGGCAGTAGCGTGTGACTGGAGGGGAGGAGATGCAGGAGAGAAATGTTGTAGGTAGATGTTATTGAAACTTGGTAACAGGTATGAGAAAGGGATGCTACCATCAGAAGTAAAACTGGGAATGAGGTGTCATGAGTTTCCAGGAGATGGTAGACAATTCAGATAAAGATGCCTGCTAGACTATTGGAAAAGCCATCTAAAGCTAAGAGCACACACATCCTCCTCTGTATTTTGTAGTGACACAAAGGCCTGAAATGAAGGACTGTCACCTAAAAATTTAACTATACAATCAATGTGTTTAATGCAAAATATCAGCCTTCTTTGGAAGCACATCAGTTGTAACATCATATGTAAATAACCATGATCCATGTTGTTTATTGAAAAGGGAATATATATATATATATATATATATATATATATAATTTACTTATATATTTTGACATCATCCTGCACTAAGTCGACTCAATATCACGTATTGCTTGGAAGGTGCAATGCCTCTTTGCTAAGCAAAATGAACCCTGGGCTTTGTGTTTAGGGGATTAGGATTTGAATCATGGTTTTCCTACATTTTATTTTTCTAAGGTCTTTTTGCCTACCACATGAAGGGTTGGATGAGATCACCAGGACTCTCTGAATCAGCTGTTGGTCTGTTTATCACCTGTGACCACCAGTGTCTACCAGATTTGAATACAGTCTTGATTAAATGACCAGCCAACGGACACACACCAGCTTGTAGTACCGAACGTTAAGCTCCAGGAATTTGGAGTTCATGTTTTTCAAACACATTGTGCCAGTAGCCCACCTCTCCCTCTCACATTTCCCCACTGAAAAGGTAGATCTCTATGAGAAATGCTGACAACTCTCTAAGTTGTCACTACTGTCAAATCAATGCTATATAAAAAGATGAGCAAGGCTCGGCCTTGGTCCTCAAGGAGCTTACATACACTGCAGTAAGGACAAAAAGCAGAAGATTGAGTATGATGAGGGAAAAAGTGGAAGGAACACAGTAAGGGAGAGGAGAGATTTTTCTAGAATTGATATAAAGGATAATTGTGGAGGTGTGTGGACAAGAGAAGGCAAGCAGGAACTCCAGGGGAACCAGTGTAGGGGCAGTGGTGGGGGGATAAGGCTGGACTGCAGGTTGGAGTAGCTGTGGGGGTCCTCCAATCTCAAGATGAGAAGTGGGACTTGCATTTACACACAATGTAGTGAGGACAGTTGTCTAATTTTAAGAGGAGTGGTTGCAACTGTGCCTCAGTGGGGACACCACCTAGGGGGTCTTTAGAAGACGCAGTCAGGAGGAAGTGCATTTGTAGGAATGGGAAGGTAGATGATCAGATTTTGGGTGATAGACTTCAGAGGACTGGGAGGAAGAGGATGTGTGAAGGCCAAGGAAGATGTGGAGTTACAGGTGACTTCAGCCTTGATAACTAGGAAAGTGTGGCAGTTATTAGAAGCCGGTGGATATTAAAAGTCAGGAGAAGCAACTTGCTTAGTTTGGGGTTTGTGGAGTTTGGGGTGTCAAAGGGCGGTTAGGTGAGGTTATTCAGAGGACAGCTGGAGATGTGAGGGCCTCCCCAAACAGTGAGGACTAGGGACACAGATTTGGTATCAGTCATGCAAAGGTGACATGGATACTGTGGGAGCAGATAACCCAACAAGGGGAAAAAATACACGAAGGGGTGGAAGAGAAAAGCAGGTTGGAATTGTAGAGCAATGGGGGTTAGGGAGTGGGGGAGAAGATTACGTGCCAGGAGCCCCTCACCAGTGTGAGGAAGGGCTGGACACTTAGGACAGAGTTTGATAATCATAGATGACATTGAAGGATCATGTGGAATTTAGAGATGAGGTGATCCAACTCCATCCCCTTTCCACAGATGGGGAAAATCAAGTCCAGACAGAAAGCACTGAGGAGTTCAAGGTCATATGCTAGTCTAGATTCATTAAAAACTTCCAGCCTCGTCCTAACCTCAGGCTTATGCTGTCTTTTCTTCTCCCCCTCTGAAAGTACTCGTTTTACAAAAAAAAAAGAGCCCTCAAAGACCCAGAGCACTTTAAGTTTTAACAAGCAGGTTAAGACGGGGCTCCAGGAGGTATTTTTTTTTTCCTAACCCCAGGGGAGACAAGGCTTTGGAGCTGGGCAGGAAGGTCCCCCCTGGATCGGGAGAGCCCCGGCCACCCCGGCTCGCCCCACCCGCACACTGGCCGCTGGAGGGACCGCCGCGGGCCCGATGTCCCCCTCCCCCGGGCGCGCCCCCGGGCGCGCGCGCTGCACCGGCACGACCGCGCGCCCCAGCGTCAGCGCGCTCCCGCGCCCCTCCCCCCTCCCCGCCGCGCGCCCCGCCCCCGCGCGCCCCCTTGCTGTCACGTGCGCGCGCAGCGGCGCTCCCGCCGGGCAGGGCGGCCGCCGAGCAGCGAGCCTTGGCCGTGACCGAGGCGGCCGCAGCTTCAGGCGGCCGCGGCAGAGCGGGCCGGGGCCCGCGTGGGGGCGCGCGCAGCGGGCGCGAGGCCGCCGTGGCTGCCGTGGCGGGGCCGCGCTGAGGAGGCGCCGAGGGGAGGAGGAGAAATCCCTGCGCGCCCGCCGCCGCCGCCGCTGCCGCCGCCGCCGCCGCCGCCCGGCCTCCCGCGCCCGCGCCCGCCGCCTCCTCCTCCTCGGTGCGGTTCCACTGGGCTCGAGGAGCGGCCGCCGAGACCTCCGCCTGCGAACAAAGAGGAGGCCGGCAGGGCGGGGGCGTCTGCGGCGAGCATGGCGGACCGCAGCCTGGAAGGCATGGCTCTGCCCCTGGAGGTGAGGGCCCGCCTGGCCGAGCTGGAGCTGGAGCTGTCGGAAGGTAACAGGCCCCCGCCCCGCTCCTCCTGCCCGGTCCAGACGCCCGTCCCCTGCGCTCCGGCCGCGGGGCCGGGCCGCGCTGTCACCCCTGGGGAGGGCTCGGGCCGCCGAGGGGAGCGGGTGGACGCACGGGGGGACACGCGGGGCCGGGGGGTGAGGGGGACGGCGGTGGCCCGGCCGGGCCGCGGCGTGGTCCCCGGGGCCGGGGCGGGCGAGTGCGTTCCCGGTCCCCGGCCCGGTGCGTGTGCGCCGCCCGCGGCCCCCGCCCTCCCGGCTGTGCTGCTGTGGTGGTGCCACGATCCCCCCGCGCGCTGCGGCGGGGCCTGGGGCGCAGCGTTAGGACGCAAGATGGAGCAACCTTTAGGGCCGGCGAGGAACGGCCTTCCCGGGGATGTGCGCTCTGCCCTAATGGAGAGCCGCTGCGTCCTTGATGCAGCAGCGCGCTGCGCTGCTACCGACCACGTTCGATTGTTGGGGGCGGCCTGATAAAGCCTGCTGGCCTTATTTTAATGCGAAACTTGTCAGTGGACTTTCAGATTTGATCCCTGCGATGTGTCAGGCATCCTGACGTTCACACAGTCCTGTCATAGCTGCAGGAAGATAGTAGTACTATTGTTCGTGCGTGTTGTGTGTGATACGAAGGTTGGGTAGAATCGGAAAACCTCCTCCCTTCAGGCCAGGTTTTATGCCTCATTCCCGTCGTATCATATTTGGGATTTGTGACAGATTTGCTTCAGTGATTTCATGGAGTGTTATAGACGGTTTCTTATTTGCTGTTAATGGTGGAGATCATGTGCTCAACTGTCATAAGTTTAGCTCGGGTTTTGCTAGGTCTTTTTTTTTTTTTTTTAAAACAAAACACTAACCTTCCCAAATGTTAAGTGTTTAATATATATTTAGTAGTCACCCGGCGCACCCTGGGTCGGCCACTAAGATAATATGGTGTGGTGACGATAGGATGGCTCGCCTTGGAGCAGTTTAGCATGGTGAACTTTTTTTTTTTTTTTTTTTTTTGTAACGGTTTGTGAGGGCCGGCAGCCAGAAAGTAAATTCATTCGTGCCAATTTTCATCAGTAGGGAAGGAGCCAGTGTTGACTTTATGTTTTCCTTCTTAACACTTTCAGGGCGAAGAAGGGAATAAACGTGGGGGCTGCGGTGTGGTGTCAGTTGCCTTTTCAGATTAACATAGACTGGAATATTTTCTGTTTCAAATGTGGGTTTCAGCAAGGTGCCTTAGTGTCCCGTCACACGAAACAGTCCCTAGTAGGAAACAGAGACCCTATCCTGGACTCGGTGGCCACAATTCGACCAGCTCACTGACGGTGAGAGAGCATTGCGAGTTCCTAAGAGGACCCAGAGGCAGGACATAAGTGCTGGCTTCAACTGGGAGCAAGCTTTAGATCTAACTTGGCAGACTGTGCGGTGTGGAGAGATTGGTGGAAGGGATAAAGTATCATTGAGAAAACATTTGCCCTAGTTACTTGATTTTGTCAGCTTCCAGATAGACTTTCTTCCTTAGTTTACCACCCCCAGCCTAGCTCTGTGTCCTCCTGGCACCCCTGTTGTATTATGTACAGCACCCCACTATTCATGCATTTTCTCAAAGCTAGCAGTTCTGCTGTGTCTGCATTGTACCCTATCTGTGCTAGCAAAGTGTGAGGCTACGTCCCAACTCAACAGGATCGAGCCCTGTCTGTAGGGTCCACTCTCCCTCCAGTCCGGACGTTGGCTCAAATTTGTTCTCAAAGTCTTGGACAATGGGAATGTATTCTTGGTCATTCTTCCCTAATGCATGGAGAGCAGCTTTTTTTTTTTTTTTTTTAGGTGATGACAGTCACCTGTCATCAGCACTTGCTTCTGGAGGATGAGTGATAAGTTCTTGTTGCCCAGAGGAGGATGGTAAAATGCCTCCACTGAGGGGGGACTCAGCTTCACGCCCAGTGATCACCTTGTGCCTGTATTGATTTTTTTTTTTTTGAGAGCTTAATGAGTTTCTTATTGAATGATTGGGCAGAGAGAGGGGTGTGTGTGCTCACATACAGGAAGTCCATGATTGTTTTTCTTTCTCTTTCTACATAAACCTTGCTGAGACCTGACCTAAACATTTAAGAATTAAAAAAAAAAAAAAAATCAAAGGCTTGTTGTATTGCTTTGTTCAACTTCTGCCACTCCCTGCCTGCCTATCTCCCCTCCCCCATCCATTAGCTGTATCATCTTGGACTTTATTATGAAGTGTGGCTTTGTCCACATGGAGTTATGGAGTTGTGCTTTAAGGTCATTTGAAATTTTATGTCTTGTAACCACAGAGAATTGTTTTACTGGATTAGATGAATCAAATGATTTCCAGTATTGCTTAATGGAAACCTGAGAATTGAAGGATCAAAAATCTCAGTATTTCTTTACATGGTCAAGCATAAAAAAAAATTCCCCAACATACCCACTTTCAAAGAAAACTTAAAATGATTTCATGCTGAATTATTTTTCAGTGTGCTGTTTTCACATTTTATCTTCAATCAAAATTCATGTGGAGAGAGTTCTTTAAGTTGGTTGTCATCATTTTATTAAAACATCAGAGAATATTGTAGTAACACATGTGGAATTTCCAGTGTTCATTTCCCTCAGAGGTTGGAAAAAAAAATTCCACTTTAAGGATATAATGTAGATTAAAAAAAATAAAAAAAATCGAGTATTCTCTGTAAGTTCCTATGTGGGCAGCCAGCCTTCAATGGGTTGTCTATTACTAGATTTCCAGACACTGGTCCAGTTCTAGTTTGCACTGTCTACTGTCTGCTGTTGTATACACCCATGTTGTTTTGATTTTATTGGGTTATTGTTTGTTTGGTAAAGAGTTGCAAATTGACTTCCTGGCTGCATAACTCAAATTTTTACTTTTTCTGCTCTGGTGGTTGCCTCCTTGTTTCTTGCCACTGTCTGCTACTGCCCAGTGCTTCCTTCACAGGGGAAAATGAGGTTTCATTCACTCTGCAGAACAACTTTGTCAGCAAAATACAAGAGTTTTCTGTGGGGAGACACGGTGGGTAGCCCTTGCTATGGGAACCAGCAGCCTCGGATCCACGTCTGGAGACATTCGTTGGTGTGGGGCCAGGGATTGGATTGTGGGTCTGCTCACATACTTGGGTCTGAATGTGAGCTGGAGAGGAAACCACGCCAGAGCTGGCGGCCACAGTGTGCCAGGTGGGGCAGTGGTGGTGCCTTTCTAATACTTCTTCCCCCAGTTTTTTTTCCTCCATTCTCTTACCTCCATTATTATCTTTTGGAATTGGGCGTGTTTCTTTTTGACTCTAAAGGACCTAAAAATAATTTCACTTATGTGTGAAATGAACATTATTTGTCTTAAGGAAAAACTACATGAGAACACTGAGAAATTGGTGAGGAAACAGAAAAATTTCTAATAAAAACAGACTCACCTTTTATGAAAACAAACTAGCTGGGTGCCAGTGGCTCACGACTGTAATCCTAGCTACTCAGGAGGCTGAGATTAGGAGGATCACAGTTCAAAGTCAGCTCAGACAAATAGTTTGTGAGGCTTTAACTCAAAAATACCCAACACAAAAAAGAGCTGGTGGAGTGGCTCAAAGAGCATCTGTCTAGCCAGTGTGAAGCCCTGAGTTCAAACCCCAGTACCCCCAAAACAAACAAAACCCAAATTGGGTTTGTTGATTGAAATGTAGAAGTGAGTTTCTTTGTTAAGTGGTTACATGTTTCTGGTCTGTGCCTATGCTTTACTGGACTCTGATGATCTATAGAAGAGGCTCTTTCTATTGATCTCTTTCCCATATTTCAGGAAAGATTAAATTCTTTTTTTCCCCCGAGATGGAGTCCCACCATGTTGCCCAGGTTGGCCTCTAACTTCTGCACTCAAGTGTTCCTCCTGCCTCAGACTATAGGCACATACCACTTGTCCAGCCGGGGTTGACAGGATTCATTTTGACCCAACTCAGGAAATTGCCTTGTGATGTAGCCTGTGAAAAGTGTTTCATTTTTTTCCAGAGGGAAGTTTTTAAAGATATACACACTATATAAACTTTGTGGTTTTTTAATTGTTGGCATGTCCCGTCCGTACTGGTGTCTTAACTTCCACTGATGGGAGTCGCTCAATTTATGCTCTGCTTTGTTAATGAACTCATCAGATTACTTCAGCTCTTAGTTATGTTCCATAATAGAACCCAGCTTAACACTTTCTCAGTGTATGAAACTGCACTGAGAAAAAAAGGTGAAAACTCACTTAAATGCCAACTGTTTTCTACGTTGGTCAAGGAGCCAATACTATTTTTGTTTTTAATGGAGACAAACATGCAGCTTGCACATCATTGTCACCAAGAGTGAAATCTTAAAGAGATGGCCAATTGCAAAGTTTGCAGATTTTGGGGGTAGCATTTTTAGGACTGCTGGGCATAAAATAACAGGTGCACTTCACCCTAGGACTTGAGTCTGTCCTTCCTAGACCCTGAGTGTTACTTGGAGGCCCATTGTTGTCCAGTGAGGAAGATATCTGTGCCCAAACTTCCACCTTGCAACTACCATTGCAAGTCTGGAAGAGAAACTCAGGTGTCTGCAATGCCACCCAGTGTTGTGTACTTTCTTTTCATTGAAAACAGTTTATTCTGGAAAACAAGGGAGAGGGGGGAGTATATGTTTCCTTCCAGAGTTAGGAAAGGATAAGTGGAAACTAGCTGTGATGCTCCTTTGAGCTGCTCCACTAAAATAGGTCTTAAGTGTATCAAAACTTGTTTACTTTGTTACATCCATGTGAAAGTTGCCACAGATAACTATAAATAGTGTGGTGAGTAAAATGGAATAATACTCACAATGAATTTAAAATATTGTTGCCTATAGTTAAAAAAAAGTAAATAAAATGGTAGTGTTGCTATGTGAAGGATTTTAAATGTGTAGACTTGAATTTTAAGAATTCTTCAGAATTATGGAAAGAGTTAGGCTTGAATGTTCTTTTCTTGATGAATAATTGTAGATGTCAAATTT